TCTCGCCTCCCAGGCCTCCCGCCCGCCATGCAGAAGGTGATGTTCAAGGGGCTTCTGCCGGAGGAGAAGACCTTGCGGGAAATCAAAGTGACGAACGGAGCGAAGATCATGGTCGTCGGCTCCACCATCAACGACGTTCTCGCGGTAAATACACCCAAAGAAGCTGCTCAACAGGAGGTCAAAGCCGAAGAGAATAAGAAGGAGCCGCTCTGCAGACAAAAGGTTATTGGTGCCTCTGTAATTCCTGGTGTGGGGGAGCTGTAGGCTCCGCACGGTTCCCTCGTAATGCTCCGCGGTCGCCCTTGGGTCCCGTTCCTCCTCAAAGCGGGACGGGGTTTCTTTTCTCACAGCTGAGCGGTAGAAGAAGGGCTCTGAGCAGAGGAGTTGTAGCAGCAGAAAAGCGTTTAGCCCAGCAGAGGCTGGGGCCTTGCGAGACATCGCTTGTGCTGGTGCCAGGTACAGCCTAGCATTTCAGACAAGAAATGGTAAATAATAGAAACATTTCATGGTTGTTAGCTCAAAACGCAGTCGAAATTAGTTGCGTCTAAAAAGCAGCTGCTATTTGTCAGCAAAATTAATCTGATCTCCAAAAATTGCCTTTTGAAATGAACACCAGGAGAGCAGCTCCCTCAGCTGTCCCAGCACTGAAGGGAACGTGGATGTTCTCCGAGTGCCACCTCTGAATGGGTGGTGGAGTCCAGGTCGGTGACCTTGGTTTGGCGGCAGCTCTGCGGTGTCATGGGGCTGGTGAAGGGTTTTCAGCTCAGGGCATTACCAGCCCCGTACCTTGCTCAAAAAAAAAAATAATTAAAAATTAAGTAGCACATTGTTGAACTGCAACCTTTATGAAACATGCTCTTGTTTTTCTATAATTTATCATGGTTCACATTCACTCTAAGTTCTGTGATTGTTTAAAGGTACTCAGGAACTTACAAGCTGTGAGCATGACTTTTGTAGTTACTGCTGCTCTAATCCGTGCTGGTTTGTTGCCGTCTGTTGCACCGTCAGGTGTGGGAGGGTTTTCTGCTGCTCACGGGGTATAACACTTGACTCTTAAAACTGTCTTGCCAAAAGCCACCGATGTGATTCAGCATGTATGATGTGAAAGTGGGACTTGTGTGGATGTATGTGTTTATTCTGGAAGGGATGTTACCCTCTGCATTATGTTGAGGTTTTATTAATTTATACGATTTCTTTAGGCTGTCGTAGCGAGTGCTCGGTTAACTTTGGAAATTAACAATTTCCTGTGTGATGACTTTGAGTGGTCCTTACCTGTCTCTCAGTGATGTTGGGGTATGGATGCAGCTGGAAGTAAAGCAAAAAGCTCTGCTGTGTTTCTCTAAATTCTAAATTCTGTGGGTTTGTTCTTTGTTTGTTTTTTTTTTAAATTGTAGCAACACAGAAAAGTATTGGATAAAGGAAAACCTGATGATGTGATGCCTTCTGTTAAAGGTGTTCAGGTAAGCAAATAAGTGCTTGAGACTTTGTTGTAATCAGGAGAGAGAAGCTTTTTTTGTGGTTTGAGACCTTTCTTTGCCACTTCAGTCATTCTTTCCTGTCTTAGAAGAAAACTGGAAAGATGGATGGTCCTTAGGCAGTACAGAGGATGTGTCTTTGCTCGTTGAAGTCCTTCGCTGTCACTCACTGTGTTGCCTCTTTGTAGGAACGCCTGCCAACAGTGCCCTTGTCTGGCATGTACAACAAGTCAGGGGGAAAAGTAAGATTGACCTTTAAACTTGAGCAAGACCAGCTCTGGATTGGTACAAAAGGTGAGCAGCTCTGAAATTCTGACATGAATAATGGGTAATTGGGCTGTAAGTTAATTGTGTGACCCAGAAGGAGCTTCTGGTGTGACTAAATTGTGTTTAGAGAGTAATATTGGTGTGGTGATACTTCTCAAATGCCATTCTCCCAGATCATTGAATATTACTTGATGTTTTGCTTCTGTTTCTTGAGTTCAGCTGTGCCTGCTATTCATAGCTCCAAATGTAAATTACTGCATTTGGCATTTCTAGCATATCTCAAAAGCACTCTGTAAGCACTGGGTTGGTGCCAACATCACGTTTAGAGGCTCAATAGCTTGGCTGAGACTCGGAAGGGAATCTTAGGACCGGCGTTAAATCTCGGAGTGCTGGCCTCCCCGTCGTTATCTGTCCTTCCAACCAAAATTAGTCGGGTGTCTTGTTTCAGTGATGTACAGCTGCAGAAACTCCGGTATGCGTGGCCGTGCAGGGGTGTCAGTTTACTGTCTCGAGCGGTGCCGGGGGAGCTGGGAGCGCTGTGGTGATAACGTGCTCTGCGGAGGATGTCCCAGATAACTCCTGCCTCCGAGGGGAACTCTGCATCTTTGGGCTGACCGGAGTGGGGCAATGTCAGAGCCATGAGCACGAGAACTAGAAGTTGCTTGCTGGACACTTGCTTGCTGTGTCCGTAAAGTAACCTCATCGGATGGTGACGTTAGCTTTGGATGGCACATCTGGCCACCATGTTATTCCTAAAATAAGCAGAAATCTTGGAAGTTTTGATCTTTCCTTTATAGGACAGGCTTGGCCATGAAGGTTTTTTTGGCTTTAAAACCTCTGTTGGCACCAGCTGCTGTGATTTTTCTCCTGGGCCAAACGATGCAGTGAGACATTGGGGTTTTTTCCTTTATAGGTTGGGCCGGAAGGTCTTAGTTACTGGTAATGTGTTCTAAATACATGCTTAGTATTGAGGTAATTAATCCTCTTCCCTCATCTTCTAGACGAGTTTCAAGTTCAGTATTTCTGAAGTGTTCTAGATGAGTGTTTCTTAGGCTGCGAAATTTGATTCTTCTCGTAGTCATCTGTCTTTCATGTAACCTGTTTCCCTACTTCCCCAAATGAGCAGCAGCTTCCTTCCTCTAGGGGAGGGTTGTAATTGCTGGCTGTGGTTGGGAAAAACTCCTTCCTGCTCTGAGAAATTCATGGCAGATGCCAGCTAGTGAGGGCCACGATCAAACCAGCTGGGTCTTGACACAGTTTTTCACTTGCTAGCCCGGGGAAGTTGAAGCTGATTCTTCCCCCACACAACCTCCCTGCGCTTTGCAGATCGCTTTGTACCGAAAGATTTGGTGCAGGCAGGTGTTTCTCAGTTGCTCTGTGTTGTTTTCATAGAGGCCCTGATAACAGGGACTTGTCTGTTGTTGAGATACTGTGAAGAGTAGTTGGCTTGTGGGACGCTAACCAAGTGCCAAGCGAGGTTTTACTCAGTGAATGAATGTCGTGAGTCTGAGTAGGGTAGTTGCGAGTCGGCTTAGTTGCAGCACTGATGGAAAGAGCATTTGCCCTTGCTTCATGAGGTGTGTCTCCCTGGGTGCCTTTTATTAGGTAGGTGCTTTTTTTGGTCTCACACAAATGTAGTTAGGTATTTCTAAGGAGCTTGTAGTTGAGTTTCTCCTTTGTATAGTGTTTGTGGTCTCCTCTGTCGTACGTTCAAGAAGATAATTTTAGGCTGAGACTTGGAGCTGGAATGGAGAGGAAGGATCTTGGAGTTAAATACCCAGAAAGAAGCAAGAACAGAACTGAAACAGAAAAGGTCTGCCATGAGCCATAAGCTTTGTCATTCTTGTTGGTTCCTCTGGCTGGCTGACAGTAGTCTTTCATGTAATTGTCGTCATCTCTGGTTTTTCTGTTTCTCTTTCTGTTTCTTTCTCTGTTTACTCATAAACATTACCCTGTGCTTTCATAGTGACAGTAAAAGACTGCCTCAGGGTAAAACCAGGACCAGGCTTTCACAGAGTGGGGTAGCCTGTCTGCATTCGGCTCTCAGCCTTCTCCTTTCTGTAGAGCTCAGCGTAACCCTCGAACGTGCTCGCACCTGGGCCGGCTTTCACTGGAGCGAGTAATCCTGCTGCTCCAAGGGAGTTCCTGATGGAGAAACTGCAAGAGAGGAGATTTAGATTAGATGTAAGGAAAAAATTCTTCCACATGAGAGTGGTGAGGCACTGGCTCAGGTGGCCCAAGGAGGGTGTGGATGCCCCATCCCTTGAAGTGCCCAAGGCCAGTTTGGACGGGGCTTGGAGCAACCTGGGCTGGTGGGAGAGAGGTGTCCCTCCCCACAGCAGGAGGTTGGAACGAGATCATCTTCAAGGTCCCTTCCAGCCTTGACCATCCTATGGTTCTATGAAACTTTAAATAAAGCCAGGCTTTTCCCATCACCCAATTCAGGCCCGAATCGGGTACGCTGAAGTACCTCATGTGATACAGGGGTGTAAAAGGCGAGGAGCTGCGGGATCTGGGTTTGGATTCCTCTACAGGATACGCGTGCCAGTGGTGGGGTGCGGGGCCCTGTGGCTGTTCTCAGCAGCAGGTATCCAGGGCTTACCCGAGGAGGAGACTGCTGACTTGAGAAGCTTTTGGAAGTAATGGAGGTGGTATTTGAAATTAATGCAAAATCCTTACACACCAGAAATAATACTTGGATCAATTTTGATGTAGAGAGAACGGAAAAGTTACCCATGGGGTCCATTAAAAATGTGGTGAGTGAACCTATTGAAGGACACGAGGATTATCACATGATGGTAAGTAATGTCTCTGCTTTTAATAATATCCAGTGTAATTACTTCATGCAAACGCACAGAGGCAAAGCTTTTGGAAAAACAGGGCAGGCTGGAGGCGAGCAGGCGGGCAGCGTCCCGCGTCGTGGAAGACAGGAATGCGGACGCTGCTCTCGCAGTGTAAATATTTTGGATGGCACGTTGGCGCTCTGGCTCTTTGTGGAAATCTGGGTTGGCATCCCACAAACACGAAGTGCTTAAGCACCGTTTCATGTCTTCTGTCTTGTGGTGGTGTTAAACCAGTAAAAATACTCACAATACAGCTCGTGACTTTTTAACGTTAGTGGCGTTTTCCTGTATCTGGCTTGATTCCTGGTTTCTGGTGTATTTGTATAAACAGCAGGCCTTGCCGGAGGTTAACAAAGAAGTAGCGATTTGATGCTGTAATATTTTTTCCCGTATGTAATTTTCTGGCATTGGGTCTAGAAAAGTAACACATTTAAGAGTAGAGCTGTGCTAATTCTCCTGAATTTTTGGCCATTTCTTTTAATCTGTGGGGTTTTCTGAGGTCTTGATTTCCAAAGTACAGCGACTAGCTCGGAGTGTTGAGGTAAGTTCCTTATATGTCTGTTTTCTCCTTTAGGGGAAGGAAGGGGAAATGTTACACCCTAAAATTATTGTCTGTAGGAGGGCGCTGATCTAGTCTTTGCCCAAATACTTGATTTTTGATCACCATGTAAGAAAATATCCCCTTTGGAATATGCTGCAATGAACTCCTACCCTAGCGCAAGGGTGGAGGCTATTGGTGTGCCGTGGTGCTCCTCTCCTCCGTACACGAGCATAACCTGAGAACAGGACACAGCCTCTAAATACAAAACTCTATTAAACGTTACGACTGTGAAAACAGGGTCGTCGTCTCGTTTGGGTCCTGTTGGCTTCTCAGCTCTGCATCCCGGTCGTTCCTTTAGACACCTCGAGTTACGCTTCGGCTTCTGCCTTGCAGAATAACTCCCTGACGCTCTTGAAAGTGGCGAAGGCTTTTTGTTGCCACTCTGATGTCGTAAAAGGAACGAGCCCGTTAATTTGATTGGTACTTTGCAGTTGTTGCTCTGAGGAAGGCTTTTCTTAGTCGCTTGTCGAATCCCTGCAGCGTGGCAGCAGGCGCTGGAGGGAGGCAGTCGGTGTGCCAGCACGGGCTGGAGCCTCCCCTGCCCGCCGGCGCGAGCTGTTCCCTGTCCCCTGTGTAAACGTTGTCGTTTTTAACTTTGCAGGCGTTTCAGCTGGGCCCAACAGAAGCGTCTTACTACTGGGTCTATTGGGTACCAACTCAATATGTTGATGCAATCAAAGACACGGTGCTGGGCAAGTGGCAGTATTTTTGAAAGCACGCTCACCTCTGGCACAGGAAAATGACACAAAGCTAAGGACACTGCTGGGAGAGGCCTCCAACATCCCTGGATGTGATAGTCCTGGAACTTATTAATAAAATGTGCTAAATGAGGCATTGATGGAAGCCAGAGGTGATGTTCTTTCACCATTAGTTTACTTTTAACTTAAAAATTTCACCATCCCTTTTCTGCAGCCAGCTTCAACCATATTTAAAGCAAATACGGTGGAAATCAATAAATCTTAATTCACAAAGTATTGTGTGTAATACACTTAAATCTGCTGAGAGTTGATCTTCCAATTAAGTTTTAAGAAAGAAAATATTACAATGTATTATCGAGGATTTTTTACGTGGTTTGAACAAAAACAAGTATTTTCATAATCTTTCAGTTACAAGCGTTAGGCTCAACTTAGTTACTTGGTTGTGACTGAGAATTTCAGAACCAGTTTTTTAAAAATAAACTTTAAACAGTATGCAAAACGGATGTTTAGTAAGCCATATTCTGCTGGCCCTTTCGTTTCAGGTTTCACTCTGGTAGCAAAAACTAACTTTTTATGTGTTGGGTGTTTTTTTACCCAAAGATGCCCTGCTATTTTTTTTTCCCCATTATTTTATTTTCTTGCCTTGTTTTTCAATACTGGAAGCTCCGGGCCGGCGCTCTGCACAGCACGCTTGGAGGGGACGCGTGCCGTGGTGGGTGCGTTGTCCCAGCTGGGGCCCAGCGCTGCCCCCCGGCCCCTCTCTCACCACCTCGTTGCTCCTCTCTTGCCTCCTGCCCCGGGCGGGAGCGTGCTCCTGCTCACGCTTGTTGAAGCCCAGAACAGCCGTGGTGACGCCGTGTCCCTCCGGAGCGTGGAGCCGCCTGGCATGAACCAAAGAGAGCGCCCGGCTCCTCCGGGGAAGAGAGAAGCTCAGCTGCTGCTTCGGATCCTGAACAACCCGGTTGTTACCTCTCGTGACCTGGATTTGAAAATTCCTGGTGATGGCTTTCGGTGTGTCTCACCAGATTTAGCGAATCTATCCAGCCAACCCATCCTCTGAAGTTCCAGTCGCCTTCCGGCCGCTCTCTTGCTCGAGCCTGCAGGGAGATCTCGCGTCCCGTCCTGCCCTGTCCGAAGCAGTGCTCCTCGCCCCGCGCCTGTGTCATCGCAGCCATTCACGTGCCATTTACCTCAGGTTTTCTGAACGGACCTTTCAGTCCTGACGCGGTGCTCGCCCTTCACAGATTGTGTTGTGCCATCACGATGAGTCAGTCTTGCTCCGTGTTAAACCTGCATCTAACAGATCGCTCTTCTTTTTTTTATGTTTTTTTAACGCTGTAGGCTTGATGCTGCTCAGTGCAAGTAACTGAACGTTTTGTGAAACTCCTGGAGGAATAGCTTCGTAGGAATTGCTGGTCTTAGTATGTTCCATGGCCGTTTTTCAGTCTCCTTGAAACAGCCCAGTTGAAACTCAGCAGGTGCAAGTTCCCAAACGCATATTTATTTTTTGTTCTGTTTTATTTGAGAGACAGGGAAAAGCGTTCGCTTCATGGTCTGTGTGTAGACCCTCGATAGCAACATAAGCAGCTGCTGTTCTGTGTTTTCAGTTAGAACATCCACGAATAAGAATTTTAAAGGTGTTTCATATCCCACGTATAAACTAGTGATGTGCTTGTTGCTCTTATAGCTTGAGCCATTTCCTTTCTGCAGACAAACCACCAGCAGCGTGTCTGGGCACTTTTGCTGGAGCAGCCGAGCCCGGTCCCCATGCCACGCAGAGAATGGAGCTGCTTCGTGTTGCTGGTCCTGGGGTCGAGGCTTAATTCTGCGCCCTGGTGCAAAGCATGCACTGCAGCATAAAGAAGAGGGGCAACATGAGCTTTCTCTGTCCCTTGGGGTCACCCCTGCGCTCACCGTCTTGTCAGTTCTGCGATTACGAGCTCCCGCTTGCCACTCGACGTGCTGGGGTCTGTCTGTGCGTCCCTTCCTCTTCCCCTTTCCTTTCCTGTCCCTTTTTTTGCTCCTCGGGAGTGCGCATGGTTTGGTGCCAGCTCCTCCCTGGTGCTCCCGTGGCCTCGGTGTCGGGGCGAGCAGCTCCTGGGGGCAGCGCCAGTGAGGGCAGGAGCCCCGGCTGGGTGTCATCTCGGGGCCGGGGCTCCTCTCCCACTCCTCTCCCACACTTAGTCTGCGCCCAGTGCCGGCTGCAATCCATCACCTCAAAAGAAACTGAATATAAAAAGCTGTTGGCTGCAAAGCAGTTTTAAGCAGGGAGAAGAAAATGTTACAAATAATAAAATGTGATCTTAGGTGCTTCTTTTCAAGTTGGATTTAATTTGAAAAAGATTGGTTTACTGTTTTGTTCTATGTGCAAAGTTTGAATTAAAGTATGGGAAAGCGACACTTATAAAATGCTTTAATTGGTGTTTGATGGCTTAATGTAGCAGGCTTCTTGGGAATTCTTGGAAATGAGTATTCCAGTTGAAGTTAGCAATGCTGCTTTTAAGATCCTTTCTCTTTTGGGATGATGTGGACCTCCTCGTCCAGTATATACCAGCTTTTCCAAGGCAGTTACTGCCGTTAAGTAGTGATCATCGATGTTAAGACAGCGACGTCTCTGCAGGTCGATGGTGTCACTGCTTGCCAGCCTCTCTCTTCGCTTTGGGTTGTACTCTCTCGTATAGCTGTGATACCTCTGGAGCAGATGCAGCAGAAGAAACGGTCCCGTGGAGAAATCTGGCAATTAGTCCTCAGTGAGCCACAGGCATTGTGAGGAGAGCGCAGGCATAGTCAGTACTTTGAGCTGGCTCATGAAGATTGTTTTGAGATCCAACACGCGATCTTCCGAAGGGATTTTATGGCCCTGTCTGGCGGTTCTTGTGCAAAAGCACGTTTCATTTCATTGTGATTGATCAACGTCCGTTCCACAGAGGTCGGTTCCCTGCTGCGTCTGTGTGTGACTCCCCATGAGCGTTTTGGGTTCCTCGTGCCGCTGTGCTCTGTTTACTAACTGGAGGTTAAAGCATCCTTAACGCAAAGACGAGTTTCCACAGAACAAAGCCGGCGTTACCCAGGCCCTGGCAGCATCGCCATCCCGCCAGGGGGCCTGGTGTGGAGAGTCCCAGCTCACCCGCCTGATGTCACTTGCTCTTCTCCATCGATCTGCTGCCCTTGGCCAGAGCTCGATGTTCTTGCTCTGGCAGCGGTTCTGGGTCAGCACAAACGTGTGTCGCTAAACCTCGCTGGGCTTTGAACACAGGCAGAACCTTGCGTGAGGACCGTGTTGCTGGCAAGCCTTCCCTGTCGAGTTTAAGATGAAGGCAAATTCTTGGTTGCCATTAATGACATGGTTTGATGAGAAACGTGGAAGTCAGATAAGGATGTTACGGTGAGGGAAGGGGGAAAACGCTGGGAAGGCAATTCAAAGAACCAGCCAAGGAGCTGTTACCCGGCACAGCCCGAGCGGAGCAGCTCCCCAGCCCTGGCGGGGCCGTGCTCACCCGGGCTCCAGCTCTGCTGAGCGAGGTTGGTTTCCAGACTTTCCTCCTTTTCTTTACTTTTCCTTCCTCTGTAACTCGATTTTTTTTTCAGTGGAACCGTTTTCAATTACTCCAGCCTTTCGCCCCGTCAGGATTAGGTCATTAGCATCTCAGTTTGTTAATTAACGTCCTTGTCACTGTGGGAAGGGAACGAAAGGGACCAGGAGAGCTGTAGCAAGTCTGGAATGAAACACATAGCTGTCTTACCTTCTAGCCAAGGGTTCGGTTTCTGTGCTCGTGGAAGTTCACCGTGTCTTATCCATACTCTAAGCAATTAATTATTTTTTTTAATATTTAATAAATAATTTTTAA